AATAACCATCCCGGTTCATGTTGTAACTTTGGAATTTTGATTGTCTGATTTGGGTCAACGTGGGTTGAGGGTGGGACTGTTTATAGATCCACTATAGTTTGCAATCAAGCATTACCTTAAAACAAACAAAAAACTTAGCTGGTAGGTGTATGCGGGAGTTACTGCTAAAGAAATAGGAAAACAAAAAACTTGTTATTGTGGAAACTTTCAAATATATATTTAAAAAGTAGTAAGCCTAATATAAAAAACTCAGCTTCAACTCGTGGCCAGTTCTGTGAGAAATGCGGACTTTGAGCCAGATGACAGAGAGAATGAACTTTTCAGCTCAGGACATTTGGGTTATCCTACTGAGGCCACAGGATCCAAGTTTCTGCAAAAATGCCCCAGACTAGAGCCTAGAGCAGTGATGGCGAACCTTTTGAGCTCGGCGTGTCAGCATTTTGAAAAACCCTAACTTAACTCTGATGCCGTGTCACATATAGAAATTTTTTGATATTTGCAACCATAGTAAAACAAAGATTTATATTTTTGATAATTATTTTATATATTTAAATGCCATTTAACAAAGAAAAATCAACCAAAAAAAATGAGTTCGCGTGTCACCTCTGACAGGCGTGTCATAGGTTCACCATCACTGGCGTAGAGCATGAAGAGAAGGGCAGAGAAACATTAGTGCTGGTTAACAACCACAGAAGAAACCTGGGACTTAATAAGCAAAATAATATCTCTATATATCTCACTCTCTCGTCTCTCTCTGTCTGTCTCTGAAGGAGATGCCATGCACCAGTAAAGTAACAGTGGTTGCCTTTAAGGACTGAAAGGACTAGCAAGGAGATTCCCTTTTCCTGCTACATGTTTTTGTTTTTTAATATTTTTTTATTGATTTCAAAGAGGAAGGGAGAGGGAGAGAGAGAGAGAAACATCAATGATGAGAGAGAATCATTGATCGGCTGCCTCCTGCATGCCCCCTCCTGAGGATTGAGCCCACAACCTGGGCATGTGCCCCTGATCAGAATCGAACCTGGGACCTTTCAGCCCACAGGCCAATGCTCTATCCACTGAGCCAAACCAGCTAGCGCCCTGCTACATGTTTTCATAAGTTTGTGGTAGGTGCATATATTACCTATTTTTTAATGTAACTTGCTAAAGACAAACATCATTAAGTTTTTTAGTAACCAAGTCCACTAGGAATGGCAAAGGGCACACTGCCTGCACTCGGACCACCAGATCTTCATCACATTTTGACCTGTCTTATAGTAATTTGCTTCGCTAGATGAATGTACAACTTTCTAATTCCAAACTGTACACCATCAAGAGAGATATTTCTCATAAAAAAAAAACACACCCCCAAAACAAAAACCAGCCCTCAATGGCTACACGGGTATATACATTTGTCAAAATTTCACCACGCTGTACTCTTAGGATTTGTACACTTTACTGTATGTTCACTATACTACAATTCAATAAAGTATTATTAACAACCTCAGCCTTTGTGTACAAACAAGGCAAAGAACTTGGGGGGTTATTGGGTTGGTGGTTCACAGAAAGCTGTTGTTTGGGGAAAACAACACGATGAGGACGTTTTGCAAAAACTTGCTCTTTGGAAAGCGCCACTACAGCATGTGCTTTTGGTTAAGCATTCCACGGCTGGAAGGCAACTCCAGGCTGAAATGCCGAGAGGATGAGGCAAAATCTTGGCCAAGGTCAAGCTCTGCTGATGGTTGAGAGGGGATGGCAGCCAACTGCTCTGCACTTGAATAACATTTAAAAAAGAAAAACTAACCCGGAGTCATCTTCTCTTCCTTTTCTGAGCCAACTTTAGCCCTGCTCGTTGTATCCAAGAACTCCGAGGAAGCCATATGGGCTGCAGCGCAGGCCTGCCCATCCTCCCGGGCCAAAGAGACAGATCTTGATTAAAAAGAAACTAAGCCAACTGACTGAGGCTCCAGTTGGCCCTATGGGATGTAACGAAAGATGTCTGAATTTTGGATAAAGTTAGGGTCCCTTTAGGAGAGGGCAGAGAAAAACACGTTAGCTTCCCTTTAGGCTCTCTGGTCACTTTTTCTGGAATAACAATCAATCTGGTAGAAAACGGGGCTCACTGGATGTGTAGGTGATTACTGTCACAAGAGCTTCAAGTTTAGCAACCTTGTCAGACATCACACCACACCAGGACACCACACCCTCTCTGGATAGAAAATAAGCCCAAGGATGGACTAGAAATGTCTTTCCTGCCAGGTCGGAGGGAATGGGTACAGAGGGAAATGTCTTTCAGCAGCTTATAAAATGCGAACTTTATAATTTGCACATGACTGTCGAGCCTGGCAAAGGTCAAGCAGGACAAGTCCAAGGCGAGTCAGGGTTATACAAAACGCAGGTCCCAGACACTGCCCAGCCTCCCTGTGAGTTCATGTCTTAGAATTCATGATGGATAACAATGTGTTAACAGTGTTGGCCCCTCAAATTTTCTTAAGTAATCATGACAACATAAAAAAAAGAGAATATTTTTAACTTACTGGTTTACTACTTTCCCTTTAAAGTCCCCAATTCTACTCAATTCTCTGTACACAGTATAGACTTAATTTCTCCTATCCTTAAAATGAGAAGCAGTCACTCTTTTTTCTCAGTACCCTCCCATCTATAATACTTGGAAAGCTTGCCTCATTGCCATTCTGCACTTATCTCTTATTAAACCTTATACCACTAGTAAGGTGGCTGACGATAAAGATTTCTCTTCTTTCTTTACTGTTAAATAGTGAACTGAGTAGAAATGCGAGTTCCCTAAGGCCACACACACACAGCACAGCTTGGTGAGAGGAGCATTTTGATCCCAGGGGGAGCGCCAGATGGAGGCAGCAGGCACTCCCCAGTCTTGGAGGCCAGGAGGACATGGTGTGGCATCCTGCTTCCCTCCCTCCCCCCCTTTCCATGCACAGTCTCCGTTCCCAGGGCTGGGGGCGGGAGGAGAGTGTGCAAGGAGGCAGAAGACTCACATCACCCCCGGGAAAGCATCACATAAAGAAGCAGTGGGATGAACTACAGAATGCTACAGCTAAGAAGGCCCTAATAGCACATCTAATTCCAACTCCTAATTTACTGGTAAATAAAGGAGCCCAGAAAGTTAAGTGATTGGTCCAAAGATACCCAGCAAGGGCCAGACCCAGAGCCCAGGTCACCAGCTCACCCCTCAGATCCTCCACCTCATGACAGAACTGAGTATAGAAAAGAGCAAAATATAAAGCCCATGAACTGTACTCCCATCACCACCACCAAATAAACGTGCCTCTTTTAAAACAACCCACGTCTCAATCTCCCATTTCTTTTCATCCCATTAGCTCACTAAGCTCAAATTTCTGATTCCTCTCTGGGATTTAATCGAGACCCTGACAGCCTGAGTAGTCAGGAGTCCAACTGTGCCCAGCATGTTGCAGCTTGAGAAGGGAGATCTTTGTGAAGCAGGAGTAGAATATAAGTAGCCTCTTCAACTCAGGAATATTGTAGACCACACGTCATGCTTATAATAATGCCGACTCTAAACTCAGCAGCTTTTGAAGTTTACGCTGGCAGAAAGGCAACGGGCGACCCATTTAGCAAGAGAGCAAAATTTAAGAATGAATAACAAATAAGGAAGGAGGACGATGCTTTGAGTTCAGTCTGGAGTGTGTGCAATTAACCACTCCATTCAAGAGAATGATCTTCAAGGCAGTGTGCCCCACATTAGAAGAGGGACAAACCAGGATGCATGAACCAGGTCCTTGACACTCCATGTGTGCAAATGAAGTCAGTTCTTGATTCTCCCCCAGCGATACCCATTTGTTCCCGCCACCCAGTGTCTAGGGACCTCCAATGGGTTGTCTGCAGACAGCTGATGAGAAGGAAACAACAGGCCGATGTACTTCCCACCTTCCCCAAAAAATGTACTGGGCTTTAAGCAAGGGCCTTGGTGCCTCAAGCCAAACTGCTCCAGGACTAGGGACAGGCAGAAGGTATTAGGCTCCAGCATGAGGAGGCAACATTGGTGCATACCTGAAAATTATAACTGAGTTCTAAACTAAAAATATTTGGGGGATTATGTATTATTTTTATGTTATGATCAAGAGTTAATCATAACAAGAATCAGTCTTATATCTTCTCATCCAATAAAAGACAACAAGCTAAAAAAACAAAAACAAACTGGTTCTCACTGTTTTCCTAAGGGATTAGGTACTCTAAAAATGACCATCTACACAACAGAAGAGACAAAAGATCAGAAAGAGGAATCCTTTAAAAATATATAATAATTAGTAAGTAGCAAACTGAGAAACTATCTCCTTTAAAAATAAAAAGTGAGCCCTAACTGGTTTGGCTCAGTGGATAGAGCGTCGGCCTGTGGACTCAGGGGTCCCGGGTTCAATTCCGGTTAGGGGCATGTGCCTTGGTTGCGGGCACATACCCAGTGGGGAGTGTGCAGTAGGCAGCTGATTGATGTTTCTCTCTCATTGATGTTTCCAATTCTCTGTCCTTCTCCCTTCCTCTCTGTGGAGAATCAATAAAATATATTAAAAAAAATAATTAAAAAAAATAATAAGTGATACCTCTCATGAGGATGAGACATAATGAAAAAAAAAAAAAGAAGGGATAAATGAATGAGTAAAAAACTCAGAGGGGCAAGGTAAACTAAGAATTTAAATTACAGTCAAATGTTAGAGCCCGAACTAACAGGCAGAACAGGAAGCTGAACAAAACAGCTCCTTCTGCCTGCTGGGTTCCTAAGAGTCTAAAATGAGGGATTAAAATGGCTTTATTTCAACAGAACACATTTTGTCATCTGATCTCTGTCCGTGACAGGGGTGAGAATAAGTAACTTATGTCTGCACTCTTAAGAAGCAACAAATCCCTGAATATTATACTTTGTTCACTTTCAGACAGTAAATCACCAATTGCTTGTCTAGCAGAAAAAAAAATCTATAAGTTTTATTTTAAAATAAAAACTTTCATTTTATTTTTACATTTTTATTTTCAAACAAGCAGTTTTTCCAAAAAACATTGACTGCAAAGGGCAAATGAGGCGATGGAGAGCAGGACACAGAGGGAAGCAGAGAAAGGACTCTGACCGGAACATGCAGAGAGGCCCTTGCTGGGAACTGTCCTCTGACCGCTACTCACAGAGAAGCTCCGCAAATGCACTGGAACATGAGCCACGGGGTCAAAGAGAAGCAGTCCCTTAATACACATCCCTAGAGACGCTTTCAACTTGTACTCACACCAGCAATGTGAGTCCCCTCCTCACGATCCAATCTCTAGGGTTCTATTCTAATGAAATTATTAAAGACATAGGCAAAGATTTATACATAAGAAAGTTCACCACAGCATCACTGATATTAACTAACAAAGAACCTGAAACAACCAAAATTTTCAAGTATGGGAATGGATAACTAAAGTCAGGTAGAACCACGAGAGATCTACTTTCCAATACTGAAAGATACAGGAAATTAGTTACTTGTGATACCATGTTAAGTGAGGGGGGGAAATAGGATACCCAGCTGTATATATGTATGACTCTCAACTTGGTTTAAATACATATATTACATGCATTTTTATATACCAAAAGGAAACGCATAAATATATCAGCAAAGGTTAGCTCTGTTCCAGATGGAGGTAAGATGGATTATTTTTATTCTTTTTTCAGACTCATCTATAATAAGCATACATTACTTTTGTATCAGAAAAAAACAGTAAGTATTTATAGTATGCCTATTCTAAAATATCTCATTTAAAATATCTCATTTAAAATAGCAATTGTCAGCCTTAGGGAAAGGCTGCTAAAGTCCAAGGCTGACTATCCCTGGCCAGTGTGGCTCAGCTGGTTGGGCATCTTCCCGTGGACAGAAGGGTTGCAGGTTCAATTCCCAGTCAGGGCACATGCCTGGGCTGTGGGCTTGATCCCTGGTGGGGGGTGTGCAGGAGGCAGCCGATCAATGTTTCTTTCTCTCTCTTTCCATTAGTCTATCTCTAAAAATCTTTAAAAATAAATAAAGTCCAAGGTTGACTCAGTGAACAAAAGACTCAAATGTACACAATAACTTCTGAAAAGGATGAGACACCTCGTGTGCCACGGTCTAGCTTCCTCCTCTACCGTGGCTGCTGGCTGTTACTGGGCTTTGCAGGAAGCTCTGCTGGGGACCTCATTCCTTCTTCTCACAGCAACCACTGCACCTTACGGTAACTGACCTGCATCTTAATTGACCTTGTACGAGTCTCTTACCTCTGAGCATGAGGATCACAAGGGAAGAGAACGAAAGAGTCCTAATCCCTGTTTCAGAGGAAGTTTTTCTTATAAAGTTATCAAAATGACCCCAAATAAGGTACATACATTTTTTAAAATCTATTTTTATTGATTTCAGAGAGGAAGGGAGAGGGAGAGATAAACATCAATGATGAGAGGGAATCATTGATCTGCTGCCTCCTGCATGCCCCCTACTGGGAATTGAGCCCACAACCTGGGCATGTGCCCTTGACCGGAATTGAACCCGGGACCCTTCAGTCCACAGGCCGACACTCTATCCACTGAGCCAAACTGACTAGGGCTAAGGTCCATAAATTTTGAAACATAAATCATGAGTTGTGTTCAGGAACCATGTATAAAAGTCTCTTCTCAAGAAGGAATATATAACAAAATCTTTGAGTGCCACCTTGTGGCAAGTCTGACTACTGCATGACCACCTGTCCGTATCCATGAGCTCCATGCAATATGGTCAGAGACACAGGCCCCATAATAACCTAAGGCATTGAACATATGGTCCCCACAGTGCCTGGTACTATTTATTTTTAAGGATTTCTAGCTTAGATCCCAGAAATGCCTTTTTGAGGACAAGCTGGAATGAAGGAGCAGAGGAACAACATGTAAGATGTGCATGTGTGTTTGTGGGTTGCTGTTGACCTGCCAAAGCTGCACTGTGTGTGTGTGTATCCATCCATGCCACATACGATGGTACTGCCACATGGACGACTATCTCTTCCCCCAAGAATGTTTACCAACTTTATAAAGTTATGAAGAAAAAAGCTTTACAGTTACAGTCAGTAAGTTTTGTGCTTAGAAGTTTTATTTATCAGAGCAACCATCACCAACTTGGGCACAATTCCCAAGTTGATTTCATGCTTAAAGTGGTGACCTCACATTTTGAAAGAAAAAACACCACTGTTTTAACATCTAAACAAATAAGTTAATCTCAGTGTTCCAGGCATGGGGGGAGGTGGAGAGATCCTCACTGCAACCAAAGACTCCAGGAGACAATTAAGTGCTGGAAAGAGGTCAGTACTGCAAATCGATGGAAACAGAACTCTGGAGGGACCAGATACTGATTCTGAGAAAAGATAATCTTCCACCCAGGAAGGGATTAAGCTAAAAGCCTTGCAGTTATGGGCAGGAGGATGGCAACCAGCAGACAATGAACAGCATGAGAGGAAAAGCACAGCAACTTATCGAAGTTCTCTGGGGGGATGGTGCTGAGGCTTCTCCCTGCCCCACCTGGTGGGAGGCCTGTCTCTAGAAAATGATTCCCTCTAATGTTAGTGTGGAAGCAAAGTAAGGACGTTGTGGCTTTGGTCCTTGACATGTCGAGGGGAGCAAGCGCAAGTGTGTGAAATCAACTGAAGTGATTCAGTTGGGAATGGATCCCAAACAGGTGCATTGTGGGAGAGCATAAGCCAAAGAATGTGTAATTATGAGGCTGAACTGGGAAAATTCATCTGAACCCTTGATCGCCTCTCCAACCCCCTGGAAGAACTTTTTCTCCCCTCCTAGCCTGACGGGATTGAAATGCTTAGCCCGTTTGAGATAAATCAATATACTGAACAGGGAAGAAATGTATTAAAAAACCTGAGAGTCCTGACAAGTCACTTCAGGGAGAATCCTTCATTTACCATCTGCACAAGGAAGGCAGAAGAGGAAGAGTAAAATCCAAGACCCTCCTTGTCCACAAAAATAAAATAAAATGGAGGAAAAAAAAGAATTTTCATTCTGCCCAACTAAAATTTAAAACCATAAGCTCCCCTTAAAACAAGAGCCATGCTCCATCCACCAGAAGCATTCTGGGATCAGTATGGGTTAGTATTCGGAGTTGTGTCACAGGCTTTGACAATTAACAACGTATTAAAACGGGAAGAGGTGACGGTTCCACCTTGGCTCCAGCTTCCCAGCTGTCCTCACCTGGGAGGAAAGCAGCTATCACGACAGCTTGATGGGAAGGTCTTCCCCGTATTTCCGGAGCAGCTTCTGATGGTTGTGGTCCACTGACCACTGCTGGGGCAGGTGCTTGGGCTGCATGGAGTCCAGGAAGTGCTGACGCCAGCGGCTCTCCAGCTGCATGAGGGAGCGCAGCCCACCCCGGCTATGGCACTGCACCACCTTCAGCCCATGAGGAATGTAGTTTTCATTGGAAATCCTGCCAAGATACAAAGTACACAGGGTCTGAGGGAAATGGGCACAGGACGGTCTCACAGACGACCCCAAATGCTGCGGGCCACGGGGCTTCCAAAGTGTGAGGGATGCTGCTAGACTCCTAACGGGGGCTACTTTAATGTCTACGAAACAGCCTCTTTCTCATATATGCCTTTTTTTTTTAAGTTTGGGCATGTTGCCCACAATTCAACAGAGAGCATTTGGGGATTCAGAGCTGAACTTGTGGGAAAACCACTGCATCGTGCTCAACCCCCTTTAGAGGGCCCTCCTGTCTGGCTGATGAGGGTGGAGAATGCTGGCCCGGTACATACTCCAGGGTGCTCAGTTACCAGCTCACGCCTCTTTCAAGTTATTCATCCTGAACCATGCCCAGTGTTTATATGAGGCTGTTAAACCAGGCTGTTAACCTGTGTTCCAGTTTCTCATAACAGTGTAATGTAAAATACAAGGGGGGACATTTCTTTAGGGCCTTCCTCCTCACAAAAGGGATGCCAAATCATATCCATGAAAGTATCACATCATGAGAAGCATCACATCATGGGAAGTATCACATCATGAGAAGTATCACATCATGGGAAGTATCACATCATGGGAAGTATCACATCATGAGAAGTGCTTTAGTCACAATGAAATGCTGCGGTGGCTCGCTGTGCAGCTGGTGCTGTTTAATAGGAAAACAAATCCCTGCCTCCTTCCCAGCTAAGCTGAGGGGCCTTAAAACATGCTCTGAAACCAGGTGAACAGTGCTTTCACCTCCTCTGAATAAAGATCTCCTTTCTCAGGGGCTCCCTGCCCCACAGACGCAGCTCCTCTCCCTGCACCCACGCCCCCCTCATCCTCCTCCCTAGACCCCACCAGACTAGCAGCATCAGTGCCTTCTGAGAATTTCTAGACATTGTACTAGTTAGCTCCCGAGCACCCCGCTAACTTGTCTCTCTTTTCCAAAAACAGCTGTTCTTCTTGGTCCTAGACATCCAAGTCAGCAAGATAAATACTAGAAAGGTCTGTGGCTGAAAGGGGAAGTTTGGTGGCTTTAGGAAATACATTTGGGAATTGGTTAAAGGAGCCAGTGTCATTAGTTTCTAATATGACCTTGGCAAGTTACTTAATTTTAACCACAGGGTATCTAATATGAAACTTGGAAAACAACATGTATTCTATAACCTCATTAAGAATAAAATTTGTTAATACATTTTTTTTAACTCTGATTTTTTTTAAGTAAGATATATTGTTAGTTACCAGTAAGAAGCCTAAGTCCTACTTCATAGGGTCTGTTAGAAGAAATAATCAAAGCAAGTTATGTAAGGGTTAGTAGCCTGCTAGATAGATTAATATATGTATAAATATTTGTTTGGTAAATATTTGCTGCTATAGTTAAAGTATTTTGGGGGTTTTTATAACAAAAATATTATAGGCAACCAGCATCACTAACAGGGTTTTGTGAACTTATCAGTTCAATTATTTCAACCCCTAGGACTTCTGAAGAAAGTGAGTTGGGAAGCAGAACTATAGCAGGTGGCCCAGAGTTTTTATCATCTGAGCTACGGACCCATTCATTTCTTAGGACCACAAACTTCTCATTGAGGAACACTGAGTTAAGGCATATGAATTCAACTGTGTACTAATGGAGAAGGAGGTCTGAGAAAGTAAGGAAGGAAAGAAAGAGGAGAAAATAGTAATAGAATTCTGGCCAGCATTCCATCAGTGGGTCAGTACCCTGGAGTGCAGGTGAAACAGGAAACATGAATCCATTGTCACAATTCCCACAGACCTGAATGAGGTGAGACACAAAACCACACATGCTGTATTTCATGGACAACTTCAGTGATTTGAGGGCATTTCCTGACTACTATTTTCATTTTATGTGCTGATTTGAGGATTTACTTCTGCACTAAACATATAAAGCACAGCTCTACTGCATTTCAACTTTCCTGCTAATCATGAAAATAGATGTAAGTATATGACTTAAAGGGGTCAAGGATAGAAGGAAAGTCTCCTATAGAAAGGAAATCCTCAAATAGATTGTTCTATCCCACCCCCGTGATATTTTAAGCCATTAGATACCTGGATAATCATGAGATTATGCACTGCACCTAAATGACTAATGGCCCCTCCCCCCTCCCTGGCAAGTGTTCCCACTAAGTAGTCAGGGTTAATGTCACTGGATTAATCCTCACCCCTTCTCTGACCAGAACTGTCCATTGTACCTGGTCTCCAGGCTGGCAGCCTCTTGAAGCATCTCATTTGTGACCATGTCTGTGTTATAGAACTCTCTGAGAGCTTGCAGCAGCTCCTCCTTTCGATGAGCAGGCAGGCTCTCGGCGTTGAGCAGGGCCCTGGCCCCAGAGCGCATCTGCCGGCGCTCTGGGTCCTCCAGCAGGCGCAAGCCCTCCTCAGAGCCAATGGGGGCCTGGAACTCCTTGGCCAGCTGCTGCTTCAAGTGGTTGTCATAGTAGTTGGAGATGGCATGGCAGGAGGTGCAGAGCAGCAGCACGTCGTGGGAGTTGTGGTCCTTCATCTCAATGGGGAAGTGCTTCCGGTACTCGTGTGGGACCACGTTCTTCCTGAACAAGCCCACCCAGAAGGCAGTGCTCATTAGCATAAGACACAGAACACACCTGTAGCTAGCACGGGGGCTGCTAGGATTCTGATCTGGGCCTGAACGTAACTGTGAAGCCTTGGGTACCACAACCCGACAGGAAGGACATAAAAACCATACTGCCTATTCCACTCGGCCCACCTACCTACCTGTGCCCTAAGTTCCTTTAGTGAGAAAAGACTACCTGCTCTCAGGCTTCAGGGGAGGGTCAGGGGTAGGGGAGGCTAATAACCTTTGAGAAGGTTGTGCTCCCAGAAGGAAAGGTATCAGAGAAATGAAAAGAAATTCTAACGGCCTTTAACAGCTGGAAAACAACTCTCTCAAAGCATGTAGCAGGCAACCTCTACTCCTGAAATTCTGGAAGCCAGGTGACCTGAAAAAGCCAATTTCCTTCATCTGAAGAATCCCTTACTCTAAGATTATTTCCCTGGTTCATCAAAGTCCATCATTATTTTTTAAAAACTAAGCTCTCAAGAAAAACTCTTGGCAGCAACAACTACTGTCTCACTTTTCAAGGGAGGAAGGAAGAACATGAGTTACCCCCCAGAAGCCCAGGAGAAAGCCTGTGTCTGGGCACCCCAGGCTCAACAGGCAGCTTCACCTTCACTACAGAACGGCCTTCCCAGACTGTTCCAGAGGGAGCCTCGGGTCATCCGGGTACTGCACCCACAGTCCCACAGAGCAGAAAGCCTGCGAGCCCCTCGGGGGAGGCTTATAATGACAGAGAGAAAGGCAGCTTCTGAAGGAACTGCTCTCCATTCCTTGGTGAGCAAAAGGGAACCACTCTCTTTCTGGCAAGCCGTTACTGAGAAGAGTACTGCATTCCAGAACCTCAGAACTGGGCTCAGGAGGGGTAGGGGCACCAGAGCAAGGCCAGGCCGAGTGGCAAAACTCTCAGGGAAACTGGGATCCACCCTCGGGACCAGTCTCTCAGCCAAGTGGGCAGACGCCAGCAAGGCCCTGAGGGCTCTGCATGTGGCTACAAAGGCAATTTCCATGGAGACAGACAAGCAGGCAACCCACACTCACCGAATGTAGGAGTCTTTCTTGCCACACACTACACACAGGTTCTCTTTAACCATCAAGTAGTAGTCTCCTGGGGATTCAGGTCTTCCCGCAGGTTCAAACTGTAGCTTGACCACAAAAGGCTCTTCACTCACCAGCTCTTAGAGAAAATAAGTCTTAGTTAGTATCTGCCTGCTCAGCTGTGCCCCAGAGAAGAAAAACAACCTTAATTGTTCTCGGCTGTCCTGGCAGACATCACTGTTTCTGGGTCTTGAATAGTCCCGTCCCATGTGACTCAAGGTCTCTCTGCCTTCTTCTATCCATCCCTCTCCCTCATCTCACTCCCCACTCCTGCCAGTGCCCACACAAACCTAATTTACAGATCAAATATGACAGCTGAATCTCAAACCTCCAATGCCTTTGTCCAGGTACCACTGAGCTTTTCTTCGATCACAAGTGCACAGGGGCTGTCCATCAGGAGCATGGAGGAAGCAGTTATCATAGAGCGGTGATTTTCTGCAGGGAAGAGAGAAAGAGGGCTAAACCTGAAAGCTAACTATTGGTCAAGGCATCAGTCATCTTCCCACGTTCTCTTCTGAGTGAGCCAGGCTATTCTCAACACCAGGGACAACAAAACTAAACATGGGAAGAAAGCATATTAATGCCTCCATCTGCATTGGGCTAGGAAACAGAAATAAAAATGAAGAGTTTATACTTCTAGTTTTAATATGCATGGATTGGGACATTAGGGACTAAGTTCTATTGTGAAAATAAGCAGAAACAGAGCACCAAGAAAATTGCCCTATGGAGTAATCACTGGATTAAACAAAGTAAATTAAAATGAAAGAACTTCAAGTTAAAGTAATGAGGGCCACGTGGGTTTATTTCTGGCTCAAACGCAACACTTGCTTCAATTTAATTATCCAATTCCTGAAGGCACTTTGCTACAGGGACCAGAGATTATTAGTCATCTTTCTGTAACACGGACATAAATTGTACAGGAAAATTCTCCTTGGCTAGAGAGTAACATTGGCTTAGAGCTGATGCCATTCTAAATAGTCAAATACCAAATGAACAAGAAATCAGATGACACATTTCTCCTGAAAAGTATGAGGCACTTCATGTTATTCATTTTCACAGCTATTCTGAAGCAAGCAGGAATAATTAATTATACCTTCATTTATAACTGGAGAAAGTACAGGTCTAAGGTCATCAGGGTCAGTGATAAAGCTAAGTTAAGCTCTCCTCATTTCCACCCCAACTGCCCAACAATGAAGAAGTAAAAAGGGTCCTAGCCGGTTTGGCTCAGTGGATAGAGCATCAGCCCGCAGACCAAAGGGTCCCAGGTTTGATTCAGGTAAAGGGCACATACTTTGCTTGCAGGCTCCTCCCCAGTCCAGGTCCTGGTCGGGGCGCATGCAGGAGGCAACCAATCGATGTGTTTCTCTCACATCGATGTTTTTCTCTGTCTTTCCCTCTCTCTTCCACTCTTCCTAAAAATCAATGGGAAAATATCCTCAGGTGAGGATTAAAAAAAAAGTGAAAGGGGAAAAGGAGAAAAGTACACAAATAAATCAAAGGATAGCTCCAAATGTCCTTGAAGGAAAGGAAGAATAACAACCCATGGAGAACCTTTGCTTCCTTACCACATGCCTCCTCCCATTCCCAAGGTGAGATATCACATGTGCCTTTTGCTGGAGGCTGGGCCTCTGACACTTTACTAGACAGGAAACAAGTCAATTACCTGGCAGAATAGCCCACCCCCAGGGGCTTTCTTTTATGTTTTCTGGGGTCTCGCCCTTGATGGTTGCCTGGCACTGTTACATCGACCTTAGACTTCTTATTTCCTGGTTTTTGCTGAGATTCTGTTGCTTCCCCATTAACCTCTTCTCCCAATCTGCTAATTCCTTTGCTTCGGAATGGGATGTCTACCAAATCCTTGCATTTCTCCAAAACTTTTCTCCAGCCAATGAGGTCATCGTTTTCTTCTAAAGTTGGATTCCTAGAGAAAGGGTATCCAAGAAGATGGAGAAAGAGAGCCACTGAAATCTGGGCATCCCTGGCAGCATAAATTACCTGAAGAGAAAAGTCAGAGATCAGTGGAATCTAGAAGGCAAACCAGAGAGAGCAACTTCAAAGTCATCACAAAGATATAAACAACTTTCAGGTCTAATTCATGATGTATGATAAACTAGACATCTTCTTAAAAAATTTTTATTATGAAAAATGTAAAACTATACAAAAGCAAATCAAATAGTGTAATGAATCCTCATGTTCTCTATGTTTTAACTAAAATAGTTAAAATAATGACTTACTTTAAATGCTTGAAAATCCTAATCTATATAAATCAGTGAGGTTTCTTTCTGTTTGCATAATTTTATTGTATCTGCTACCAAACCCACTGGACAGATTTTTTTTCAAATCTGGAGTAGGGTAGTTACCACAGGTATGACAACTAGTACACGAACTTCACTTTGGGGATAGTCTCATCTAGAACAGCTGAGACCAACATTCGTTAAGAGGCCTGTGTGACTGCCCTAGCTAGTTTGGCTCAGTGGATAGAGCGTTGGCCTGTGGACTGAAGGGTCCTGGGTTCGATTCCGGTCAAGGGCACATGCCAGGTTGCGGGCTCAATCCCCGGTACGGGGTGTGCAGGAGGCAGCCGATCAATGATTTTCTCTCATCGTTGATGTTTCTATCTCTCTCTCCCTCTCCCTTCCTCTCTGAAATCAATAAAAATATATTTTTTTTAAAAAAATCACAAAGCCCATTTCTGGAATTTATTTATTTAATAATGAGAAGTCATTCTCCCAAGCAACTGGTTACAAGCAAGCTGATCATAAATAAAAGTAGTCAACGGTATAATTAATAGCTTTTCTCAAAAAGGCTATAAAGACTTTAAGATTACTTTATTATTTTTTAAAATATATTTTTATTGATTTCAGAGAGGGAGAGGGAGATAGAAACATCAATGATGAAAGGGAATCATTGATTGGCTGCCTCCTGCACAACCCCCCTGGAAATCGAGCCCCCAACCTGGGCATGTACCCTGACCGGAATCAAACCGTGACCTCCTGGTTAATAGGTCGACGCTCAACCACTGAGCCACACCGGCTGGGCTAAGATTACTTTAATTCACCGTAATAACCAAGCCAGTCATGGACACGAACAACAGTGTGGTGATTGCAGTGGAGAAGAGGGTGGGTGGAGGTGGAAGAGGGTTTGGGGGGATAAATGATGATGGGGGGGGGGGGATTTTAAAAATTAAATTTAAAAAGCACACACACAAAAATAAGCCTGGTAAATGGAACTATTAGTATGGATTTTTTAAATGCTTAATAAAATTTCCACTTAGACCCAACAATCTACATATCTATCAGCAAGTTGTCTCCCACTGGAAAAGAGTGTACTTCAATGTGAAAAGTTCAGAGTGCTTTTTAACACATTATTTTTCAAGTGATAAAAAAACCAAGGCACTTGCAACAAATGGTGCTGGAACAACTGGACATCCACATGCAAAAGAATAAAGTTGAACCCCTACCTCATATCACACAAAAATTAACTCAAAATGGATCATAAACCTAAGTGTAAGAGCTAAAACGTAAGAATCTTAGAAGAAAACAGAGGAGCAAATGATTATGACTATGAGTTAGGCAATGATTTCTTAGATATTAAACCAAAAGCATGAATAATTTTTAAAAAATAAAAAAATGACCCCATCAAAATTAAAATCTTTTGTGCACCCTGGCCGGTTTGGCTCAGTGGATAGAGTGTTGGCCTGCGGACCAAAGGGTCCTGGGTTCGATTCTGGTCAAGGGCACATGCCTGGGTCGTGGCCTCAATCCCCACTAGGGGGCGTGCAGGAGGCAGCCATCCATGATTCTTATCAATGATGTTTCTATCTCTCTCCCTTCCTCTCCCTTCCCCTCTGAAATTAATAAAAATCTATTATAAAAACAAAACAAAACTTTTGTGCTTCAAACAACTCCACCAAACCTAGCTGTTGGGGGAGGAGGGAAGGAAGAGTGACTGCTAATGGGTATGGTGTTTCTTTTTGGGGAGCTGAAAATGTTCTAAAATTAGATTGTGATGATGGTTGCATAACTCTGTAAATATACTAAACTCCATTTACTTGTACAATTTAAATGGGTGAATTTTATTGTATGTGAATTATGTTTCAGTAAAACTATTATACTTGATCTTAGTCAAAAGGCCGAGAGACAATTCAGTAAAACTATTAAGAGGAAGGAAGCAAAGAAGGAATGAATGAATAAACGAAGGCACAAAGAAGTAACTTACTCAGGGTCACAGCAAATCAAAAATGACTGTAGAAACCAATTTCACATAATTTGATTCCTAGAACTCTCTCACAGGATAATATTAACCTGAAGATACTAATTATTGCTAACTCCATTAACAACATTTTGGAAGGATGAACAAGTGGTAACTGACTTGGCACCAAGAGAAGGCTGACACCTAGACCTATAATAGGGGGTAGAAGCCAAAAATTAAAAATCAAATTAATTTGAGCCACAAAGAATGGCAAAGCATAAGGAATGGGAGGCAGCAGTTGTCTGTGAAAGCAAGGATACACATAGGGGTGAAAACAGAAGGATAAGGTGAAAGTCTCCATAAAGCACACTTAAACCCCAGACCTCTTTATACCACAGGGCCAATTACTCCTTCTCTAACCCAAAAGAGTAAAAGTTTGTAAAACCAAAACTAAAATGGAGTCATTTATGTCAGGGACAAAATGGAACGGGCCAAAGCAGGCACATTAAAGAAAACAAAACTTCACCTAACATAAATTGCAGGAATATTTATAGCTCTCCTCAGAAATTAGCAGAGGACGCCAACCAATACCCAAACACCAAGTCTGTTCATACCATCTTTGGACTTCCTTGTTCCTGTCTCAGCTACCCGGATCCAAATAAGGAAGACCACTAGACAATCAATAAGCTGAAAAAGCCAAATAACTTCCGCGTTTACCATCATCTGTGAGCAACTCAGAACTCATTGCTCCTGTAGCCTTGAATTTCCCGGCTTGCAAGTTGAAACCCTTACAATAAACTCATCTTGCCCTTAACTGGGTTGGCTCAGTGGATAGAGCGTCGGCCTGCGGACTGAAGAGTCCCAGGTTTGATTCCAGTCAAGAGCATGTACCTTGGTTGCGGGCACATCCCCAGTCGGGGGTGTGCAGGAGGCAGCTGATCGATGTTTTTCTCTCATGGATGTTTCTAACTCTCTATCCCTTCCTCTCTGTGAAAAATCAATAAAATATATTATAAATAAATAAACTCATCTTGTTTTATTCAATGTGTAGAATTTGGTTTTTGACAAGTTTAAGTCATATAATGGCTAAATCACAGAGGATCTGGACCTAGTAAAACCAGGCATGGTGGAGGTGGGAGGCAAAATGTCACCTGAAAAAGAGGGAATTCTGGGAAAGTCTAGGTACTGAACGGTGAGACTAGCAGCACCTTTCCCTCACTCAGCCATCAGAATTTAGGCTGTGGGGCTTATACCTCTTGAGCAGAAGACTAGAAGATTCATCCATGGAGAAACTGAGTAGACTGAGAGGAAAGACTTACAGTTACTGACATTTGACTGTAACTGATAATGTTATCTAATGTTTTATTATCTATAGTTACTGATAATAACTAGTTCAAAAGCCCTGGCCATATGTGCTATGGTTTCAATCCATTTTTTTAAATGTCAAAATTAAAAATTATTTTCTGCATTTCCTAAAATTTCATTAAGCGTTATTTTAGACCAATTATCTTGGTTTCATCAGACAAGGAATCTATTTTAAGGCACTTCTGCCCAATACTTATATTTGAGGATTAGAACTTTAACAACAATTATACTTCACAACCAGTGACTCTTCCATTCTTCAAGCACTCTGATAAGAAGTACCTGGTCCTCCGTAAGATTCTCAGCATCCCAGTTGCTACAACGAAGTACAAGGGACTTGTCAAGGGGAAAGTTCAGAACAGTCTCAGCAAGTGATTTCAGGCTAAGCCCATTACAGAGCAAATTGTTCCTACAAAAAATAAATAAAATCATGTATCAAAAATGGAGAAAGAAAAGGAACAGGCAAATAAAAGAAACATAAACAAACAGCTAATAAACAGATGACAGATATTCAATCTCACTAGACATCAAGTAAGATAAAATCATACAATTCTTAAACCTATTAGATTGCAAAGATTTATTTAAAATAACTATATCTAGTATTGGTGGAGTATGAAGAATCAGACAGTTTAACCTAACATTTGTGAACTTTGCATTTTTTACAACCTTTATGAAAAACAGTTTAACAATAAATAGTGATCAAAATGTTGAACATGAAAATTCTGATTCAACAATTCCATTTCTAGAAATTCAGCCTGAGGACAAATGTACATATAATAATCTTCATTACAGCACTATTTACTGTAGCAAAGAATTGGGAACAACCTAAATGCCCATCAAAGGAAGACTGGTTAAATATCCATGCAATTAAATTATATACAGCTATTACAAATAAGAATGTGGATCTATATTGATGTGAAAAGACGTCCATGATACATTAGTTAAGTAAAAAGAGACTGTGAAGGAAAACATATGCTATGGTCCCTTTATGTTAAGATATATACTACATAATAAATGTGTGTATGTGATTCTAGGTATGTGATCACAGAGAGAGGAAACACAAAGAGATAACTAGAAACAAATCGATCAAATGTGAGTGATATCTCTTGTTGTGAGACTTGGAATGATTATATATCCTCTTCATATTTTTCTATGTTTGAGTTGGCTACTGTTCATGTATAACTTTTCAAATTTGAAAAAATGATAAGGCTATTTTCATTGAGGAATAGAATCTATATATATATATATAAGCCTAAGTGACTGTTATGACCGAACGACTGGAACAACCAGAACCACTGGTTGACCAGTTGCTATGATGCACACTGACCACCAGGGGGCAGACACTCATCGCAGGAGCTGCCCCCTCGTAGTCAGTGCGCTTCCATAGCCAACCTCCAGCTGCCCCTCCCCCTGGCCAGCCAACCTCCCGCGGCCCCTTCCCCTGGCTGGCTGACCCCCCCCATAGGCCTCAGTCACCTGCCAGGCTGAGGGACCCCACCTGTGCATGAATTCATGCACTGGGCCTCTAATATACAATATAATTAAGTATCCTTTCTGCTCTCCAAACACTTTCTGGTTAAAATAGCTACGGGGTGGTGAAAAAATTAACGTGTGCAAGAATAAGAGATTCCAAATAAGAGTTAACTGTGAAATTAAGAACATGTTGGTCTACAAAAGTGAAGCTGGAGATTCCAAAATGGCTGCAGAGTAAGTGGAAGCTACACTGACATGCTCCCAGGACCAAACTGGAATTATAACTAAAATATAGAAAAACCTTCCTAAATAATCCACTGAAGACTAGCTGAAGTGAACGCTGATAACCAAGGATGGAAAGTGGAGACCACATAGAAACTGGTAGTAAATGTGGAGGCACAAAAGGGCTGGCCAGGCTCCCACAGACTGAAGCTGAAGTTCTGGAGGGATATCTCAGCTGTGGGGCATTTCCACTGAAAACTCTGGGGTCTAAACCCCAAGCTGGGTTCCCCAGCCCAGAGCACCAGAACTGAGAAAGGTGCCCACATGATATCTGGCTGTGAAAAGCAGTAGGGTTTCTGTCTGCCAGGGAGAGATGGCTGGAAATGCAAGCACACTCTTACAGGGCCAACACACAAATTTTTGTGTGCAGCCACTCACCTTGGGCTCCAGCACAGGGAGGGCAGAGTGGACTGGAGCTGTGTGAGCAGAAGCCAGGGTTGGAAGTTCTGGGGTTAGAGTTCAGAAGGCAGACACCCCAAATTCCTGTGCTGAATCATTACCTCATACTGCAGAGGACATCTTTCTCTGGCAGATCTTTACCATTCAGGCAGCTTTTGCCTGGAGGGAGGGGTGTTTTGCAATTGCCCCACCCTATTAGAAAAACCCCTGCTCCACCCTGTGGAGTTTCTGAGCCCATTAAGAGACTGAGAATAACAATCTGCATGCAGGCAGAAGCAATTGACCCACCCTGTTGGAAAACCTGTCACCCCACCTGTGGCTGATAGCCTGAGGTTAATCAAGACTAAATAACAATCAGACTGTAGGCAGAAGCTGGTCTCTGGAGGCTTTGAGTCTTTGCCTGATCTAATTCTTGGCCCGGGGCTAGAAAAAGCAGACCATGGTGCACATCTTATTTCTTTCCAAAGGCACCCAGCCCTAGCAGAGGGCGCCATAAGCTGTGGATTGCTGATAGCTCCAAACATGATGCTCAGGGCCAGTCACAAACAGCATCTGACATTGTCCTGCATTAGAGATTGGAAGTCACAGCAGATCTATCTAATGCATAAACACAAACCCAAATAGGCAGAAAAAATGGGAAGACAAAAAAACAAGCCCAAATGAAAGAACAAGAGAATTCTCCAGAAGAGCTGAATGAAATGGAGATAATAAATTTATCAGATAAGAGTTCAGAATAATGATGGCAATGATGCTTAGCAGTATCAGAAAAGATATAGTAACTATGAAAAAAGAGCAGTCAGAAATAAGAATGACATAGTATTAATAAAGAACAGACTGGAAGGAATACACAGAAGATTATGGGAAGCTGAGGATCAGATCAGTGAATTATAAGGGTAGAAAAAAAATCAGAGAACCAAAATGAAAAACAGGAAGAAAACTTAAGGGAGCTATGGGACAATATGAAATGTAATAATATTCTCATCATAGGAGTACTGAGGGGAAGAAAGTGAGCAAGGGATAGAGAATGTATTTGAAGAAATAATGGCAGGAAACTCCCTAACCTGGTGAGGGAAAAAGTCACACAAGTTCAAGAGGCACAGAGAGTCCCAAGCAAGAGGAACCCAAATAGGCCCACGCCCAGACACACCATAATTAAAATGCTAAAATTAAAGACAAAGAGAGACTCTTACAAGAGAAAAGCAAGCTGTTACCTACAAAGGAGTTCCCATAAGGCTGTCAGCTGATTTCTCATCAGACACTCTACAGGCCAGAAGGGAATGGTGTGAAGTATTCAAGGTAATGAAAAGCCAGATTACTATATTTAGCAAGGCTATCATTCAAAATAGATGGTGAAATAAAGAGCTTCCCAGACAAAAAAAAAAAAAAGGCTAAAGGGGTTTATCAACACCAAACCAGCACTGCAAGAAACGCTAAAGGGACTGCTGTATTGAGAAGAAATAGAGCGAGAGAAACATAGGCATAAAGAATTAAAATGGCAATAAATAGGTACCTATCAATAATGGATTAAATGCTCCAATCAAAAGATATGGTAGCTAAATGAATATGAAAACATGACCCAAGTATATGCTGTCTACAAGAGACCTACCTCAGAACAAAAGACTCACACAGGATGAGAATGAAGGGATGGGAAAATTTTTTCCCTGAAAATGGGAATGAAAAAAAACCCTGGGGTAGCAAACCTAATATAAGACAAAATAGACTTCAAATGAAGGCCATCACTAGAGACAATAAAGGTCACCACATAATAATAAAGGGATCAATCCAACAAGAGGATATAACCCTGGTAAGCATATACAGTATGTACCCAATATAGGAGCACCTAAATATATAAAAAAGCTTCTAGAGGACTTTAAGGGAGAGATTGGCAGCAATACAATCATAGTAGGGGACTTTAATACTCTGCTGACTTCACTGGATAGCTCTTCCAGACAAAAAATTAACAAGGAAACAGTGGGCCTGACTGGTTTGGCTCAGTGGATAGAGCATCAGCCTGCGGACTGAAAGGTCCCAGGTTCAATTCTGGTCAGGGGCATGTACCTTGGTTGCAGGCACATTCCCGGTGGGGGGTGTGCAGGAGGCAGCTGATCTATGTTTCTCTCTCATCAATGTTTCTAACTCTCTATACCTCTCCCTTCCTCTCTGTAAAAAAAACAAACAAACAAACAAAAACAACAACAACAAGGAAAGAGTGACTAGATGAGTGGATAAAAAAGCTGTGATATATTTATACAATGGAATACCTTGCAGCTGTAAAAAAGAAAGAACTCTTACCATTTGCAACAGTATAGATGGACCTGGAAAGTATTATGCTAAGTGAAATAAGCCAGTCAGAGAATAAGTATTGCATGATCTCACTCATATGTGGAATCTAATGAACAAAATAAATTGATGAACAAACTAGATCCACAGACATAGAAGCATTGAAACAGACTGTTGAATCTCAAAGGGAAGGCAAGTGTAGGTGGGTGTGTGGGAAGAGAGTAACCAAAGAACTCGTATGCATATATGCACAACCCATGGACACAGACAATAGGGTGGTGAAGACCTGAGGTGGAGGGCGGGGGCAGGCTAGAAGGGGTCAATGCAGGATAAAGGGGACGTGTGTAATACTTTCAACAATAAAGATTAAAATAAAAAGTGGAACTGGATTTCTGGTTACCAAGTGTGAGACTAGAAGTTTTAGAGCAGGAAGCTTGGAGGTGGAGGTTCATGTCAGTGTTACAACATGCAGGACTGCTTCAGGTACTATAGGAAATGAAATCATAATGATGAAGAAAAGAAAGTCTTTCCTTAAAAAACAAGCAATAAATTGATGGATTTCATCACCCACAAAAGAAGTACTAACTAAAAAATATAAAAAGGTCCAGACACACTTAGGTAAAATGCATAAGGTCTTGGTTCATTAATGGAATTGAAGGATTTGGGGGAGACATAAAACTTTCTTCTGCCGAAACCGGTTTGGCTCAGTGGATAGAGCGTCGGCCTGCGGACTGAAGGATCCCAGGTTCGATTCCGATCAAGGGCATGTACCTGGGTTGTGGGCACATCCCCAGTAGGAGATGTGCAGGAGGCAGCTGATCGATGTTTCTCTCTCATCGATGTTTCTAACTCTCTATCTCTCTCCCTTCCTGTTAAAAATCAATAAAAAAAAAAAAACTTTCTTCTGTTTTATTAGAAATTCTAAAGGTAATAAATGCTTATTTGTAGGGAGTGGCTATAGGGTCAAGCCTTGGA